CTTGCCTAGGGTGGTGCTGAGATGCAAAACCCAAGCTCTTCATCCCCTGTGCCTTTCTGTCTGCTCAGTGTAAATTGCCAGGTTTGAGATCAGGACTATTTGATTTGTATTTCACTTGCAAGCTTGCTGAAATGTGAGCTGTCACTATACTGTAAAGAGAGGACAAGCTTTGGACAATTCCGAGAAGAGGATCAGAGACTCCGGAGGTTGGGGGGCGGATCCAGCCAGCAGGTGTGCAGGGAGAGGTGGCTGCAAGAGGGCAAGCTGCGGTGGTTAGAGTGATCTCCCAAGCAGCCTCATGTCAGCTAACCGTGGTTTTCCAGATACCTTGGAAAGAGGCGAAGCATATTGCATCAAGGTTTGTTCTCTTAAAACTACCCTGTGTGTAGAATTGTGGGCTTTTATAGTTTAAAAAGTAATTATGCAGAGTATTTTATAAAGATCCCCATTAACAGCCATTCCATATTCAACATGAGAAGCAGCTGAAGGAGTCATTGGTCAAGTAACTGGACCAGTGTCACCATGGTAACTGGAGGCAGTAATGGGTGAGAATTCTCACAGTGGAGCCCACTTTTCATTTTCTTAGGTTAGAAAATTAAGATCGAGATTTTACAGACCTCCTTTTATTTTAAGCTCACTCTTAGGGATGATGCTGGGGGGGAGACAAGAGAGAAAGAGACATGTGTTCGATTTTTTTTCCAAAACACTTTCACACATATGGCCTCTAATCTGTTTGGGATTAGGCATTCTCGTTGCAGCTACGAAATCAGAAAGCAGAGGCATGCACAGGACAAGAGGCCTGTGAAGGCTCTAGGGCTGGTTCTGGGCAGAGCCAGGAGTTTGCCAGTTTGCTCCAGGTCACACTGTCCTCTTACTGATCCTGCCTGAAACTGAGCAGGGTGGCTACAGTTCACACAGAGGTTATAAACCCATGCCCGCTGCTATAAAACTCACTGCATTTTCGCATTCATAACAATGAGTCTGCATAAGTTTTGACACAGAAGTTTCCTCAGCCTCTGACCAGTTAAAGGCAGCATAGCCTTTTCCTTCCTACCACCTCCTGCTCCTCTCCCTCACCTTCCTCCTCCTCTCCGCCCCCCTTTCCCAGTCAGAGCACAGCTCATTAACAGAACAAGGAGCTGTGCAGAGGACCCCTTTCTCCTCCTTTGCTGGAGAACTGTGGAGTCAGAGTCCTGGGGGCTCCATCAGATGTTGTGTCCAGCAGGGGCACCCCAGGACACTCCATCTCCATCTCTGCCCTCTCTGGAGAGGGAGACACAGACATTTCCCCTGCTGAGAATGGACTTTGGAATGAGCACACCTTGCCTGTTATCAGCGAATACAGAAGTACAGCATCTAGAAAATCAGAGAATACACATCTCCAAACATAAAACAACCCCACCTGGAGCATTGGTGGGATAGCCGTGGAAAAGCCTGCCTTGGGCTTGGAGATAGAATTATCTGGGTCAAGAATATAGTCTGTGTTAAGAAAGGATTGAGCTTCTCCAAGCCTCAGATTCCTACAACATAACGCTACCCCACAGGTGATTTGAAGCATAAAGTGCCGCTCACCATCATCCAAACAGTAGACAATCACTAAATGTTAGTTTTCCTCCATGCAGTCCTTTCTTTGGCTCCATGCAAAGGTGAATTCCCCAACCAAGTGACACTATGGAGCTCATCTCTACCTTAAGAAATGAAATTCTTGGAGCTGGAGAGTGGTTCAAATCAGGTGCTGCTCTCAGAGAGGACTGAGTTTTATTCCCGGCACCCACAGGGGGCAGCTCCAGCTCCAGGACTGTCCAGCACCCTCTTCTGACTTCCTTGGGCACCTGCACTTAGGCAGGCATGCTCTCCTCCCCTGACTGTTCCACCCAAAGGCTAACAGCTTATGGAACAGGAAGATGCCCAATGGCAGCTGCCTTGGGAAAGAGGATCCTGGAAGTCGCTGTTATTTCAAAGGCTTTATGAAGTCATGGAATCTGATTTCACATTGCTGATGTTTTCTGTCAGCACCCTAGGGCATAATGAGGCCTTCTGGGTCATGCACCTGCCTTCCATTGCACCAATTATAATCCTGTGTCCTTCGTGTGATTGTTTGCTTTCTGTTTGTGTGCCCTCCAAAAACAGAACCACGCCTACACAGTTCCTGGCACATAGAAGATGAATGAATGAATGAATGAATGAATGAATGAATGAACATTTTTTTCCACTGGCTTGTCCCTCCTCCTAGCCATATATGGGTTCTTTTTGGGGGCCCAGGATCAGGTCTTACCCCTCTTACAGACAGGAACATTGGCAGAAGTGGGGTCCAGGCACGGCTGCTTCAGTCAGACCTCTAGATAGCCAGTTTAGTGTTCTTTCCTCCACTCTCCTCTGCCCTTCCACTCTTGAGCCTGGCCTTTAGGTCTGCTTAGACATAACATTCTAGAAAAGGGCTGTTCCCTGTGTCTGTCTGATGTCCAGCTGCCACATTTTGTGCACAGAACCTCCACTCTAAATCAATGAATAGTGGGCTGTTCTTGGGTAGGCAACAACCCTCTCTGATGATGTCAAAGCCGGCCCTCACTTGTATAACAAACAGGGAAATGATGTCCAGAGTTGGGGATGTAAGCTGGTTAGGAGCGCGTTGTTCAGCTTGACTCGCTTTTGGGGTTTGTTCATTCTATCCACTTCAAATTGCTTCTCTACATCGGATCCTTTAAAAGTATTTCCCCCTCCAATTCTCTCTAAGTCCTTACGGCAACTCTCCGCCCATTCCTTTTCCTTTCTTTCTTTTGAGACAGGGTCTCGGTATACAGCCTTGGCTACGCTGGAGCTCACCGTGTAGATCAGGTCAGTCTTGAACTCACAGAGCTCCACCTTCCTCTGCTCATGAGTCGGGGAATAAAGATGCGTGCTGCCACACCTCCCTCTTTCTTTTCAAAATTGTTGTTGTTAATATTGTGGGGCTAAGAGGCAAGGCTGCTTTGGCACACACGTTGAGATTAGAGGACAACCTGAGTCAGTTCTCTCCTTCCAGTGTGAAATCTAGGGATCCACTCAGGTCATTAGGATTTCCCAGCAAGCAGTTTTACCCTCTGACCAATCTCTTCCTCTACACACTCCCGTTATTATCCCGACCTTTTCTTGTTAGCACAGGGTTTCACTCTGTAGCTCAGAGAGCCTCCTGCCTTGGTTTCCCTCATGCTGGGACTTCAGGTATAACCCACCACACCAAGCTCCAGCCTATATTCTTGATTGTCTTTTGTTAGCCATTCTTCACTAGCCAGCCCTCTTTCTGATAGAGACACGCAAAAATCATCACAAACTTTCTCTCTACGAACCCTAGTTTACAATCTGGTCTTAATATTTTACTAACTCCACCTTTCTCTCCTTTCACCTCTCCATCTTTGGGGATCCTTTTAAAGTGAGCATTTGGGGAGAAGCTGACTTGAGCATTGTCAGACATACTGAAAAACACCCGGCGTGGGCGAGGCACAGGCAGGTGTGTGGGTATGGTCCAGATTGCCTTAAATTACTCTCTGGTCTCAGAATCTGCATCTCTAAACTGGCAGGGGTTTCTCTGGCTTTTATGCTCCCTAGTCCATTTCAGCTTTTAAAGACACTGCCTAAGCCACTCCAGAACTCAGTCAAGGCTGTTTATGGTGGAGAAAAAGGTCACCCTTAAGCTTATTGTGGTCTGGATATAGTTGTGACAGAATTGTCATTGTAACAACTTCCTCGAAGAGATTTCAAGCCCTTTATTACCCACACAATAGCTTAGCTGTTAGGGACAGAACAGTAACACCCCTTGAAATGCAGGTGACACCTGCTTCCTGATAGGTTCTCAGCTGCTCAGTCTCTCCAAGTTCTAGGTGAACAAATGGCTTCATTGGTCACCAAGGCCAGCTTGAGTCTGTACAGGCTGAGTGTCAGAACAGACAAGAGACTGGGGAGGGCGGGGCTGGTGGCCTTGGCCCAAGGAAGAGGGCAAGATGGACCATGTTACAGACTCAGGGGTTATATACTGAGCCATTTGTGTAGGCAGTAGGAGGACAGGGTTACTAGGGGCAGGAAGCCAAGACCCACGGACCTGCAGCTGTGCAGAGACACATGGAGGAGCCTGGGAAGCAGGAAGGATCTCAGGGGTGAGGAGATATAGGAAGTAAATGGGGACCAGGGCAGCAGGTCAGTGAAGACCTAGCTGGACTTGGGCTAAACACAAAGGAGCTCAGAACCACAGGCTCGTGTCTAGATCGTAAGCGCGCATACTGCGGAGCAGGCAGAGGTGGGAGAAAGGTGGGTGGGAGCAGCAACTGATGGCAAAGCAGCTTTGGAAACAGCCTGGCCACTGACCCAGACAGACACACACAGCACCTAGCCCGGTCTCTGACGCTTTCACACCCTCAGTAACGATGCAAGTCCTTTTCTCTCGCACCTTCTCCCGCAGCGTCCCCCTGAGGGTGGACCGACACTATGAATTTGCACAAGAAGCCAGTCTTCTCTACATGCCTCCTAAGGAAAAATTCTAATCGCCGGGTAAAGCTGCTCATTTGGGTGAATCCCATTCTATTATTTTCCTATTCGAAGTCTCTTTGCGGTTTCGTTGAGAAGAGCTTAAGCTGGAAGCGTTGTGCAATTCGCAGCTACTTAGCTAACCCGTGTCCAGACCAGGCAGTAGCATTCGGGCCCTGAAGAGGCGTTGGCTCAAACACTATCCCACGCTGGGGTTTTCGAGTAAGGGCAGTGACAGAACGCGGCCACATCAGTGAAGTGAATGCTACATGGTCCCTTGACTTCCCACAGCTCCTGGGGGGAACTGGCTCCTCAGGTATAGCCGTGGCACAGCGGGCCACGGAAGGCCCTTCAGTCAGGACTGCAACTCACCTCGGACCTGGGGCTCCTGTCCTCCGGTAGGCTGGGCGCTCTGCCCCCGCCCTCTGCATGATGACATCATGTTTAGGGTTGAGTCGCGGCATAAAAATCAGCCTGGGGGCAGCCAGGAACAGACACAGCCTTCGTCCCAGGCTGCGCCTCACAGCCCCAGAGCGTGTGGCAGCTTCAAGTCGCGCCGGGACAAAGATGCCCCGCAGCAGCCTGCACGCGACTGCCGTCCTCCTGCTGGTGATCCTCAAGGAGCAGCCTTCCAGCTCAGCCCCCCTGAACGGTAAAGTTTCCGCTCGCTTAAAAGAAAGAATGAAAGAAAGAGTCCTGTGCGCTCAGCCATGCCTGGGGAGAAGGATTTGCCAGGCTCTAGCAAGATAAAATAAAATCACTGCTGAGGGAGCAGGGGAGGAGCCGAGTGCCTCGCGCACTTTCAAGGAAGGATGCTGGCTTTTCCTCTGGGGTGCACGGCTTTGCTGGGCTGGTTGGTTGCCTTTTTAACGACGCCTGGTGTGCAGTTGGGTGTCACTCTTTTCTGAGCACCACTAGCTCTGGAGCCCGGGCTGGGAAACTTGCTCGCCAGGATCCCGGAACCACCTGCAGAGCGCGGAGAAATGCCGGGCTTCTCTAGGGCTATGATCTGCAAGCAGGGGAGCCAGGCTGGCCTTCAGAACCCTCAGAGGCCTGACCCCCAGTCACCGTCCTCCACCTGGAGGACTCCACTACCCTGAACCTCCGTGCTTGTGTACGTGCACCCTTATTTCCAATTGTAATAAGGGGCTGAAACCCAAAGGGGTGTCAGGTTGAGGCGGGAAGAGGAATCCGAGTTGTGGGCTCGTGTCCAAAGCCTGGATAATTAACTCCTTTGGAACAAGAAAAGGAAAGCAAGCTTTAGCCTGCCTCTCTCTCCCTCAGCTACTTCTCTGAGGGAGAAGGTGGTGACTAGGTCCTGCCTGTGACAGTGGGCCACACGTCAGGGCAATACTTGTGGGCGTACAGTTCCTGGGCTGGAACATTGACAGAAGGACCAAGAGTGACCATAACGGCTGAAAAACAATTCTCCCTGGCTAGGCAGCAGGGAGAGAGCATTGGTCCTGCTTAGTGATATCAGAGCACTGTACCCCTTCCTCCTGGAAGTCACTGTGGAGAAGGCTGGACCTCTGGGCAACAGGCCACCCCTTTACTGAATCTTCACCTCCTGGCTGGTAGGGTCTTCCTGCTGCCCCCTTTCCCATGCAGTCAGGAAGAAGCAGAATATGGGAGAAGTTCCACAAAAGTGGGGGCCAGTTTTAAAAGCTGCCAACTTTGGCTAGTCTATGGAGCTTGAGGTTGAAGTTCACCAGAAGTCGCCTTAGTACCATGCACCTCACACAAAGGAGAGAAGGCCTCTCTATTGGTCTTTCCTCGCACATCTGGGGTTCTCTCTGTCTCTTCCTCTCTGGCAGCTGCACCCCGTTCTCCTCTGTTGCCCCCCTCCTGTCCTCCTCATCCTCCAAACTGGGTTAGGGGGCGCTTGCAGCAAAGCCCCACTTTCACCTCACACCAAGCAGTTTCAGCTCCCTCTAGGCTCTAAGCTTTTATACTGGTATTTATTGGGCAGGTTTCTTGACTGCCTCGGGGGATAAGGTCAAACAAAATTCACTGATGTGGACAGAAGGCCACTTAACCCAAGGTTGGGGCTGGAAGATCAGCTGAGTCAGGGGGTCAAAGTGTGCTCTGCCTGATACTCAGGGTGGGGGGTTGACATTTGTGGAAGTTAGCCTAAGAAAAGCCCTTGGTCCAGGGGCAGAAGCAGCACAAGATGAAGCTGAAGGTTCTGGAGACAGCGTGGAGCTCATTGTTGCTGTGGTGGAGGGCTGGTTCGGTGAACTCCGTTAAGCCTGCTCTGCCTGACCTGAGGGCAGAGAGCCTGACCAGCTCACTCTGCCTGGAGGTGGTGTCATCGGCTCCTGGAAGCCGCGAGCACTCAGGGTAGAAAGCAGACAGGGCAAGCCCCTGAACCCCTGGTCTTACTTTGCTGAATACCCTTCCCTCAGGGCATCTCCCTGCCCAGTGCCAGCCAGGTTTGCAGGTTCTAACAGGCACGGCTGAGCTGCCCAAATCTAGCCTTTTTGGGAAAGGTAATGGTTCGATTCTAGGAAGAACGTGACCCTCAACACCCCATCCTGATCCTACCCCTACCTTGGGAAGCTCCTGAAATTCATGGAAACACGGTACAGAAATGACAACTATGCTGAGACTCTTAGTAGGTATAAGATCTATGAAAGCTCATTTTACATCACTTGTGGAAACTAAATTTTTCTCTTCCAAGATAAAATGTCAACAAATAGTACTTGATTCTACAAAATCAAAGTGAGAACAATATAAACATGTTTTCTAAGGGTATAGAGAAAACAAAGAATTATTCAAAAGAATCCAAAATGGTTGTCCTAGGTTGCAAGTAAATGGTAAGTGACTTTCAGGGGATTGATATTTGTTAAAAAGCTTTGTAGAGCCATCTGACTCTAAACTGTGGGCAAATGTCTCATTTGATAAAAATTACCAATTAACTTTGAAAATTAAAAATGAAATTAACACACAGAGAAACCCTGTCTTGAAAAACCTATAAATAAAATTAGCAGTGAGGCAAAGAAATGAAACAAGGAAGTAATAGCACCAAAGAGGGGGAAAAGAGATGAGGTCAACATTAAAAAGAAAGAAATAAAAAGGCAAGGTGCTCTTTCAGCTTGTAGAAGCCATCATTGGCCTGAGTAAGAAATTCTTGCTCCTGGCGAGCAGCCAGCTCCTCCTTGACGCTACGTTGTATTGAGAAACAAAAGGGATCCAGGTTCTTAGTGTCCCAGCTATTCCTCCAACCACAGAGACACCCAGAGACGCCAGCAGAGAGGTGCTCAGGCAATATACTGCTCCCTAGTTACACGTGTCGGCCAGTGTACAGGGACACAGCACATCTCAGCTTGGGGTCACTTCTAGAGGGACGCGGAGGTGGGCAGGCTGGGTGCCGGGAGCAGAGTCCTGCAACGACTGTTTAGGAATGAGGGGCTTGCGGGTGTGGGTGGGAGGCGGTGGGCGGGCTGGGTTATATTCCTAGCATGTTTCCCCTCTCGTCCCTGCCACTGCTGGCTTTGTAACTCAGAGGAGGGCGGCAGCCCCTCGGGGGAGAACCTCTTCGATTTGTAGGTGGTCTTCCGCTCTGTTGTTGAGTGGAAAGAAGCTAAAGAGCGTTTGCAGCAGGGGAGGGGACAGAATGCATGGGCATCTGTCTCTCTGTGAGGAAGGGGCCCACCATCACCCACACACAGGTGTCTACTGGCAGGGGGAGGAGAGGGTGGGAGAGAGAGCCCCACTGAACCAATACTTTGAATGCTTCGGGGTTTCAGGTCACATGAAATTCCCTGTCTATTTAATAACGTTTGGCTTTTTAAAGATGTCTGGGGGTAACAGCTATTCCAGAAGCCTCCTACTAAGTCCACAACCACCCCCATAAACTCTCCATCCTGAGCTCTGCGTGAAGCACAGCTCCGAAGAGTCATGGTTCTGGCTCCAAGTCGGAAGTTCTTATTCAGGGACATTGACTTCCCTTTTGGTCTCACCCATTTAAAAAGCAAATGTGCAGTGTCTTCATCACCTCCTTCAGCTCCGTTGCATTGTGTTTATTTGTTTACTCTCTTCTTTACAGGATCCAAGTGGACCTATGTTGGTAAGTAGAGTTCTTAAATATTTATATATTAGGAGATGAATGTATTTAATAAGAAACCTAGAAATTTGGTGTAGGTTATTTGGGGGATGGGGGTAGTAGGAAAAGCTAGGCTGGTGTTGTTGGAAGAGAAGAGGCATCATTAGAGAACGGTTCCTTGTGAGAGTTCCATTCCGCATTTTCCCCAAGCAGAAAGCCTGCAGAAGGCATTTGAACTGTGGGACTCAGGATTAAGACTTCCAAATTCCAGGAAGGATTTCTCCCAGACCTCCAGCTGCAGGGGCCCTGGCAGGAGAGAACCCTTCTTCTTCGTAGGGTGTGTATCCTACAACGAACAAAGAAGAAAGGGCTCCTTTTTGAAAGTTTGGCTCCGGCCCTAGAACTTAAGCTGTCAGTGTACCTGAAATTAACTTCTTGTGACCATGTTGTAAGTGAGCTGCGGATGCAGAGATGGTCAGGCCTCCGTGGAGAGGAAGGTTCGTCCTCTGTGAAATGCGGTCCAGGGCTTCTGGGGGTCTGGGTCGAGAGCATATTAAGCACCCTGGCCAGTCTATAGGACAGGTGGCAGTGCTGCCTGAGTAGGAAGGGGAAGGCAGACCCCTAGTCCTCTGGCCCTGTGAGTGAAGAAAGCAGAGGTGTTCTGCCCACGTTACAGCCAGGAGCTGCAATGGCTCTGGGCAGCCATGATGAAGGAAGTTGATAATGAGAGCAGAAGCAGACTGCAGGCAAGTCTGACCTTGGTGTGCCAAGACTGGCTCTGGAATGTTTGGGTAGCCCAGCAGGCACAGGAAAGCCACGTTCTCTCAGGCCAAGCCTCCAGGCACTCTGCCCCCCGCCCCCCAGCACTGCATAGCTCCACTATTACTAACGTCTTTTATGTACTTATTATGTGCAAGGAACGTTACTAGGTGGGTGGGTAATTAGAAGGGTATGCTGAAGCTCTGTAGCTGGGAATTACTAAAGTTCATAATTCAAAGCAGGACATAATGGGCAGTAAGAGCAGATTGCAAATGAATGGTCCAGGGCTCTGATTGTCAGAGGAGAGGGCTGGAAAGCTAAGAGACTTCCTGAAGGAACCTGGCTTCTACCTGGGCCTTAAAAGAAATGGGAGGATTGGGCAAGGTGGGAGAAGCGTTGTTGGCACAGATGCAGAGGATATCACATGGGGAGAGGCTGAGCACGCTGGAATTTGAAGAAAGTGCATGGAGAAGGGTTTATAGAACAGTCCTGGGTTTGGACGTTGGAGTGACTAGGTCAAGCAGAGGAGGTGGGAAGGTCCACCTTGTTCTGCATGTAGTGGGCGGTGGGGGCACATCTGGGTTTTAGGAGAAAGATACTCAGGCAGAGAGAAGGGAGACCCGAATGTGCTGGACCTCTGTGAAAGCTCTATTCTGTTCCCTGTCTTCATACCTACCTTGCAGAAGAACAGGATGAGAGTCTACCAAATGAAGAATAGACAGAGTTAGGCTGCTGGGCCCCTCAGGTGCTCTCTTTCTCTCTTTCTCTCTCTGGGTGTGTGTGTCTTTGTGTGTTACAATGGAGGACAATTGGATTCTATGATTCTATGGGCCTTCTAGGCTTCACTTTCCCCATATGCAACCCTGGGCGTGGAGTTGTCTAGATCAGAGTTCCTCAGATTATATCTTGGCACCAACTACATCAGAATCTTCTGGAATGCCTTCTGAAAATGCAGGTTTCTGGGTCTCAGCATGGATGTAAGGAGGAACCCGAGAAACCTGTATTTAAAAAAAAATATTCCCCAAGATATAGAATTATTTATTCACTTAACTTCTGCTGTGCTGAGGCCTTTAGAACAGTGTTCTTGTGGGTTATGACACCTTTGAGGAGGTCAAATGACCCTTTCACAGAGGTTGCATATCAGATACCTGCGTTACAATTCGTAGTAGCCAAATTACAGTTATGAAGCAGCAATGAAAACACTTTTATGGCTGGGGTCAGCACAACATGAGGAACTGTACTAAAGGGTCACACACAGCATTACAAAGGCTGAGAACCACTGCTCTAGGATCTAGATGAGCACTGCCCACTGAGCCACTCTCCAAGCCTGAGAGAGTCCCATGCACCCTTAAAGGGCATATGCAGAGGCTTCCCAAGATCCTTCTCACCAGAGTTGGCTCGCCCCACCACGTCTTATGGCATTACACACACATAACACACAAGCCAGGCCTCTCCCAGGCTCCCTGTGTCTCTGCCACAGCCCCCAGGCTTTGGGCAGAATAAGGTGGGAACAGAGCCATCTCAGCAGGTGCAGCTGCCAACAGCGTTGGTTTTGGAAGGGCTTCTTTGTGTAGCCACGTATCCCGGCCCAGGACTGTTCTTCCTGATCACTAGCCCTGGACAGACTGCCATCTGCACTGTGCAGTTAGAATGGCTCTGTGGTGAGGACAAAAGGCAAAATCTGATAATGCGTGGCAAGAATGTTGGAAAACCTGGCCTTTTTGTTGTTGTTGTTGTGAGACAGGGTCTCTTCTTAGCCCATGCTGGTCCCCAAATTCATCCTCTGTAGCTGAGGATGACATTGAATTCCGATTCTCCTACCTCTACTCCCTGAGAGGTGGGATTGCAGGCTTGTGCCACCATGTCCAATTAATGTGTCGCTGGGACTAGGCCCGGGGCTTCGTGCTTATACTCTACCAAATGGGCTACAGACCCAGCCCAAATCTGGCTTCCGTGAGGGGTGCACAGTCATCCCTTGATGGGCTTACATGCAGGAGGACAGAAAGGACAGCTCAGTAGGCAACAGGTCCAGGCTGGCAGCTGGCAGTTGGCATCTGTGCCCAGAATGACACAGGTAGAGAGCAGGCCGAAGTCGGTGCTGGAAGGCAGTGGTTTCCCAGCAGGAAGGGCTGAACAGAACATGACAAGCCCAACCAGTGCCATGCACTGTTTTCTCCAGGGTCCAGAACCCAGCACACAGCTACGCTGAGTCACCTTGCTCCGGCCTTCCCATTACCTGATGCACAAAGCAGCGCTTCTAGAAGTCTATGGAAAAGTAATTCTACCCCTGTCCCTGGCCCTGAGCCACCACGCTAGCCTCGTGATTGATCTCCAGACACAGGACCATCTTCCAGCCAGGATGGGCCGAGTCCTGCCCCCTCTCTGTTCCTGGGCTGGCTTTAGAACTTTCCAGGCTCAGTCATAAGAGAGGAAAAGAAATGGAACCTACCCCTCTGCCCACCCCCATTTTAAGCCAGTGCCCAGTCAGCCCTGCAGAGCAGTGGACTTTACCTGATCCGCTGCTGAGTGGCTGACTGGCAAGTCAGGCTGTCATGTGAGCAGAGGACAGACTCCAGCCTGCTAAAGCTGGTCTGGGAGCCCTGGGGGTGGTGAGGAGGAGGTGACTGGAAAGTGGCCTCAGAGGCAGCTGGGTATATTCAGTTCCTTGACAACGGGTTCAGTTTATGAAAATCCACTAAGCCGTTGGCTTATGATATATGCGTTTGCTTATATATACATTAGATTCAATGCAAAAAGTGAAAGTTTGCAGCTCTCTGGTAGAGTCATTTTCCCAATAGGCAGGTTTTGCTAGTCTTATGTCAAGAATATAACAACAGCAACAACAAAATCCCACTGTGGGCCAGAGAGACGGCTTGGTGGGCAAAGGTGCCTATGGCCATGCCTGACAACCCGAGTTGGCCCAGGTGAGACCCACATGGTGAGAATGAGAAGGAGAGAACCAACTTCTGTAAGTTGTCTTCTAACCTCTACACATGGCACATGTATGAGCATGCACATGTCCACATACATATACACAACACACACACACGCCAGTGTGTTTGAAACAGTGGAGTAACCAAAAAGGAACGTCAGTATTGGAAATGCTGAACGAAGAGCAGAGAATGGTCATGGTGCCAGACATTGGTTTGGTTGTCTGCAGATCTGAGCTAGCATAGGAAGAGATTCAGGCGCTTAAGATGAACCTTAAAGACATCACAATGTTGGGAGACACGGACACCCAGGCCTCCCCTAGAGAGAACCACTTCCCTCCAAGTCATCACCACACAGAGCATCTGCGGGGCTGGCCTCTCCATTCTGACATGTGGGATTTGGGAGCAGTGGGGGCTTGACTGTGTTGGGAGGGACGATGGTGGGCTTCAGTAGGACACGGGACTTCCTGCCTAGCGCGGGACAGCTTGGACAGCTTTGGCTTGGGGAAGATTTGGTGTGTCCCAGGCGCTGTCAGGCATTCCCAGCACCACGGTCCTTTCTCTGAGGCTCTGTTCCTCCCATGCACAGTGGAGTCTCCGTCCTAAGGAGTTTCCTTTGGAGGGCTGGGGAGATGGCCCATCCAGTAAGGTGCTTACCAACCACCCAAGCATGAGGACCTGGGTCCCATGCCCAGGAGCCACAGAAGAGCTGAGAGGGGTGACACATTTGTAATTGGAGTGCTGAGGAGACAGACAGGCAGATCCCTGGGGCTTACGGACCGTCCAGCCTAGCCTACCCGGTTAGCCCCGGGTCCCAGTGAGAGACTTTGTCTCAGAAAACAGGCTTAGCAGAGTCTAAAGAAGGATGGTGGGGACGGACCCTGGCTTCTACATCCATGCACACACACACGTGTGCATGCTCATCCTGCACACACAGGAGCATGAGGAAATGAGGCTGGGATCCTCCATAGCGGCAGACATCCTGCCCACATCCCTCACGTCCTTCGGGCCCTGCCTCCACCTGCCCTCTGCTTGCCTCTGCTGGAATACCAAGCTGCTGCCAACACACGTGCCCTGGGGCCCTGCACACTCCCTTTAAGCCCTTCTTAGAATTTAGGACCCAGAAATGGAACACGGGAAAGGAGGCTGGGAGGCAAACTTTACTTGCTACCCTAAAGCAGACATGGAGACCTATGAGACCCCACCCCCAAACTGCGCTAAGAGCAGGCCTGTTGAAGCCAAAGGAAGGGCTGAAAGGCTGAGAACGGCAGCTGGGGGGCACACACAATTACAAGGGAGAGTTAATTAAGGGGGTGCATGTCTTTCACCAGGGTC